ATATATATATATGTAGGTAATTATTTCTTAGATTTTTTTATCTCACCCTTCGTCCAAGGAATTCAGGGTGATGTACATTATTTCCCCAGATCCTCATAACAACCCTGTGAAGACATTTAGGTTGAAAAAGAGGCCCAGAGTCACCCAGGGAACTTTGTGGCTGAGTGAGGAATGAAAGGAAAGACACCCTGGTCTTCAAAAAAAAAAAAAGGTCTCCCCTGTCTTGGTTTGACCTAGGGATGTGCAACTTGTGACTCAGCAATGAAACCAAATGTGGCCCTTAAAAAAAGAAAAGGAAATATTTTAAGTTAATGTCTCTTGGAGAGACAGGTAGGATTCTAGAACAACCAGGGTATGAAGGGAATGGCAAGTAAAGTTTTTTTTGATAATCTTTTTATTAATTTTCCAAACAAAATGAAAACAAAAAGGAAAGAACCAAAGAATGTACATTACAGCAACACAGTTTAAAAAAATAATTCCTCACATATTTCTGCTAGTTGATATAACTTAATTTACCCCTGATAATATTAGCTCAGGTTAATACTTCCATCCTTTATTTCCAACAGACCAAGATATCGTTTTCTATAAGCAAACCATTTTTCCAAATTTTTCCCTATCTGTTTCCTTTAAGCATCTCTAAATTATCAGCAAATAAGTATTCACATCACAAAAAGAATGTATTATATATACACACACACACCCTAATTAAAGGTTTAATTAATTGTTAGTTCCTTTTCCACTTAACCCACTGAACCCATACTATCAGCAATAAATCCTCACTTAGATAATAGCCCAAGTTATAATTCAGGCCTTAAGTATAGATCTTTCATAAATCTTTCAATTCTTAAACCTTCTATAGTTTCTATAGATGAACCCTTTCCTCACTTTGTCCACCTTTTACTTGTAATTGTCCTCTCACATACAGTATCAACAATTTAACTTTTTCACCTAACATTCCTATTTTTTATCCTCTCATATTTCTGCCACGTCACATACCCATAAAAAGGTAAAGGTTCTCTTGCTCGAAAGCCAGTCGAATCCAACTCTAAGGTTGCGGTGCTCATCTCCGTTTCAAAGTCAAAGAGCCAGCGCTGTCCGAAGACGTTTCCGTGGTCATGTGGCCGGCATGACTAAACACCGAGGCACACGGAACGCTGTTACCTTCCCACCGAAGTGGTACCTATTTATCTACTTGCAATTTCTTGCTTTTGAACTGCTAGGTTGGCAGGAGCTGGAACTAGAGACGGGAGCTCACTCCGTCATGCGGCACACTCGGTTCTCGAACTGCTGAACTACCGACCTTCCACAGCCTGCAGTTCAGCGTCTTAACCACTTGAGCCACCGCAGCTCCTATATGGTTCTCTGTACCAGTGTGTTATTGTGGTCAGAACATCAAGCTGTGACCAGGGAGCAAGGTAAAGGTTTTCCTTGCTCAAAAGCCAGTTGAGTACGTCTCTAGGGGGTGGTGCTCATCTCCGTTTCCAAGCTGAAGAGCCAGCGCTGTCTGAAGATGTTTCCGTGGTCATGTGGCCGACATGACTAAACGCCGAGGTGCACGGAAC